ATTTAATCCTGGTCAATTATTATTTTTTTGTTCTACAAAATTGCATTAAAAATTATTAATAAAATTGAACAGTCAATAATAGCAAATGTTGCTTTTAATTTATTCGAAATTATCTCTTAATTTTTTTTTCTAATTATTCAAGTTAATATTCTTTTCCGGTTGAAACCGGTTTTTCAAAAAAAAACACTATTCGAAAACCGGTTTTTAAAATATTGGTTTTTGTATGAACCATATTTTTAACCATCATATTATCAAGAAATATAGCAAATTTAGTCTATCACAAACGGTGTGCGCAAATAGAGTTCTCTATTATATTTATTTAATATTTTCTAAATCGAAAACCGGTTTTTAAAAATATCGGTTTTCGTATAAACCATATTTTTGACCATCATATTTTCAAGAAAGATAGATAGCAAATTTAGTCTATCACAAACGGTGTGTAAAAATAGAGTTTTCTAATATATTTATTTAATAATTTTTAATGCAAAATCGAAAATCGGGTTTCTAAAATATCGGTTTTTGTATAAACCATATTCTTGACCACCATATTTTTAGGAAGGATAGCATATTTAATCTATTACAAACGGTGTGTGAAAGTAGAGTTTTCTATTAAATTAATTTAATAATTTTTAATGCAGTATTGAAAACCGTTTTCTAAAGTATCGGTTTTTGTATAAACCATATTTTTGACCATCATATTTTCAAGTAAGATAGCAAATTGAGTCACATTACAAAGGGTGTGTGAAAATAGAGTTTTCTACTATATTTATTTGATAATTCTTAATGTGAAATCGAAAACCGGTTTTCTAAAATATCGGTTTATGTATAAACCACATTTTTGACCAATTTATTTTTAAGAAATATAGCAAAATCAGTCTATCACAAACGGTGTGCGTAAATAGAGTTTTCGATTGCATTTATTTAATAATTTTTAAAGCAAAATGAAAACCGGTTTTTGTAAAATACCAAGGAAGATAGCAATTTAGTCTATCACAAACGGTATGCGTAAATAGAGTTTTCTATTATATTGATTTTATAATTTTTAATGCAAAATCGAAAACCGGTTTCTAAAATATCGGTTTTGTATAAAACCATTTTTTGACCATCTTATTTTTAAGAAATAGAGCAAATTTAGTCTATCACAAACGGCGTGTGAAAATAGTGTTTTCTATTATATTTATTTAATAATTTTTAATTCAAATTGAAAACCGGTTCTCTGAAATATCGGGTGTTGTATAACTATATTTCTGAATATCATATTTTTAAGAAAGATAGCAAATAATAGAGTTTTCTATTATATTATTTGATAAAATAAAAAAATACCTGTTGTGTTATCGTTAAACCGATAAACGTACACATGAAGCGTATAAAAATAATATCACACATGAGCATTATTCCCAAGAAAATTAATTAATTAATATTCATAACAGTATTCCATTCAATCAAAATAGAATATAATTTATCAAGGTTTATTTATAAAATAATTTAAAATGGCTATGCCAATGAAATTTTGTTTATAAAATAAACATATTAATCTTTAGTCAATGTTATTTTATTTATAATATTTACGAATAGAAACTTTGTGATTATTGATAAGAACAGAATCCAATAAAACCACTCGTATGTGAACTCATATTAATCGAAACAGTCGCAAAGTGACATTCGCTCTTGGAGCCGATCGATTACAATAGTGCTACTTAAATTTTCATAGAGTTTTAGTGGTTCATAGAACGAAAATAGAATTTTCGGATAAATTTACTGTATGTAAAACAAGATTCGTTATTCAGTTTATAGATTTTAATATTAAGCTACTTTGATTAAATTTAATTTACTATTATCTATCAAGCGACGTAAATTGTATTGGTAAGGAAGACTGGGTACGGTTGTGCCAGGTTAGGGGGTGACAGTCGTCATAACAGCTAAACTATATTGATTTTGAGATAGGGTCCAAGGGAGAAAGATGAAGTATGTTTGTTCGAACAAGTTTCCATTATTGCATTGTGTCAGCGCCCTACATTAACATGATCTGTAAACCGAATTGGTTTTAATGGGCCTAAAGTAAGTTTTTAGTTCGATTTCTTTAATAATAACTGTTATTTTATGTAGTATATAAATAAATTGTTATTTTGCTGTTGAACATTAGTAGTTAAATACCAGCAAATAGTTTTGTTTTATGTGACATGTATTTCTTGTCCTTTTTGGGTGAAATTCAAAGAGATAAAGAAAAATCTAACTTAACTAAAACAAAATATGAAAGAGAAAGGGAAAGGAAAATTCAATACAAAAAAACAAAAGATTTCTTCTTTAAAAAATTATGTTTTGTAAAATATTGTTATATTATATTCATAAGCTTTGTTTAAATGATTTTGTTGCATTGTGTTACATATTTATATAATAAATTATAAAAGTCGTTATGAACCATTTTGGTGGTTATACTTATGGAATTTTTACCTATTTGATCCCTGTCACAACCGTACCCCGGTGTGGACGGTTGTGACACTAGCCTTTTTCTTGTATGATTTGATTTTGTGGCTAATCAATCGTATTTCAGTATTTCAGTATTTCCGTTGACAAATTTTCAAGATACCGTTTAAATTTACATTTCTCCCAGCTAACTGGTAAATTAACAAAATATTTGCTGTTCGAAAAATGTGGCACAACCGTACCTAGTCTCCTCTACTCAGCAAGGGACATCGTTGATTTACATGTAATTACGCGAATATTATTAGCAGTTAAATTTTATTTTATAAAAGTAATATTAAATATTTGTATAAAACTATGTCGTTATAAAACGACAATTTTTAAATGTATAGTTATGAATTCAAAAGTTTGCTGCGGTGCGGCTAGATCGGTTATATTGCAGCAATTCATTCAATAAATCGGTTGCTGCAATTCAATAAACATTTATATAATACTCGTTTAACTGCAAATTAAAATATATCAACATTTATTAAAAGCTCGTCGCACTGGACTTATATGTAAAAGATTAATTCTAAACCCTTAATATTTTTAAATATTTACACCTTTTTAAAAACAACCTCAAATTCAAAGTCATATTTTTTTTATATCCAAAAAATCATTACTATGAAACCTGTAACTATCGCTAAGCCTTGTCGTGAATTTAGTGTCAGTCATATGTGTCTGACGTTAAGAAATTCTACATGAACCATGTCAGACATAAGCAATTTGGTAGGAGAAACGAAGTTTTAATATAGGGCCTTGTCAGTCATATATATGTGACGTAAAAAATTGTGCTTTTTCAGAAATTTTATCAAAATAAATTTTTTTTTGGTACATTAAGTTTCCTTGATATATTTTTAACTAAAATATCTAATAAAGTTACCATGACCATTTTTTTGTTATTATTGTGGCGATTAACGCGTTAAATACTGATAATATCAATCTTTTCTTTCCAAAACCAATTAAATCGACGTTAAAGAAAATTATCATAATATTTATCATAAATTACACATTTAAGTGAAAATCAGACAGACTTTATTTGAAACAAAATATATGTTATTGACGGAAAAATATGTAAGCAGTAAATTATTTGTAACAGACGGTATTATCGTGTAATTTGATAATTGAATTAATAAGTAAGGCCATAGTATTTTGTCATTTTAAAAATACTCTGTTTATTTATTCATTTTGTCGTCGAGTATTGGAATGCTAATTACGATATGTGTAGGAATTATTAAAAAATAACGTTTTGTCGCTTATTATGTAATGTTTAAAATTAACGATTACACAGGTCCACAAAATAAAAAAAAATTGTTAGTATTATAAATATCAGTAATAGTATTAGGTGTGCTACATATGTATTTACCAATGTATTTTTTACTACCAAGCACGAATCTAAAGCTAAAATTGAGGGTTAAACCGCAAAAAACGAAGAAAAATAAAAATCTGCATCCTAGAATTTTTTCTACATAATAACTAAAGTCTTATAATTTATCTTTTCCTGGCACTTTTCTCAATAAATGACCTCTGCAACGTTTTTTTAATTTCTGTTGACTATTTTAATGCAGTTTCCAGCAGTAATTTGCAAACATATTAACATCCACATTGCCCCTAGATAATCTGCAAACATATTTGCAGTTATCTCAAATAAGTTTGAAAATTACTGCTGGGAGCTGCAAAAATATATTCAACAGAGATGCAAAAAGTGTTGCAGAAAACCGTTTCATAGGTTATTTATAGTGAAAGGGCCAGGAAACGACAAAAATCATAAAATTTTAATTATCATGTAGGAAAATTTGGAGGGAGGAGTTTTTGCCATTTTCTTTAATTTTTCTCCGTTTTTGTAATTTGGCCCTCAATTTTGGCCTATATTCGTGTCCAACGGAAAAGGGCCAGGAGACGACAGAAATTATAAAATTTTCATTATTATGCAGTAAAATTTCTAAATTAGTGATTTTCTCATTTAAAAAAAAAATTCTTCGTTTTTTTGCACTTTCACTCCTAATTTTACTTTACCCAATTACATTCCCAATTGCATTCGAATACCCGATACAGACAATTTTTTTTTAAGTCGTGGACCTGTGTTATTTGAATATTTCAAATTCATTGATAATTTCAAATTATCATTATCGTTTCATGTTTCAAATAACATAAATAGTATCCAATTACCCGTCTGCTGCGATTTGTCAAGATGAATTTAATTGCTATACCTGCCGAAAAACAAATTCCTCGATCCGTGTGGTGTCAAAATGTCACAACAAAAATGACGCGAACTGTCATAAAAAAATCGAAAAAACTTTTTAGTTGTCTTTTTTGCCGACAAAATTTTCGTATTGGATTTTTACCACCAGATTTTCCAAAAGAACGAGTTTCGGTACACAAGTAATTCTTTTCATTATTCAACTTTCATTGAAATATTGTTAATTTTTAAAAGACCGTTAAGAGCGGCACAATAATTTCTTGAAAATGTTATCAGCGTTAGCTAGTAATGTCTTGAAAACCATGTCCTCTTCAAGATTTTTTCTTTGTATTTAATCCAGTGTAAGAGTTCGCGTATAAGATACACCCATCAAGGGATTGAAAATTCTGATAAAATGGTGGATGATGTGGGCGGAAGCGATGTGTTCGGGGATGAAAATAACGGAGGCTTTTCTTGGATCAACAATTGGATCAAGGGTACTTGGGGTGAGTTCAATGTTTAGATTACCACGTTATCGTTCACGAAGAGCACAATTTTAAGCTTTGCAAATTGCATTATGCACAGCTATTGTACAGTTATGATTGTATTTTATATTCTGATCCATGAAGCTTTTGAAAAAGCAATTTGCACTTTTTAAATGTTATTGCTACCTCAGAAAAGACACTCTAATTGTGAGTTACCAATCAGAGTAAGATGATGGACATGTGTGAAATAGCAGTAATACAGCGAATATTGCTATTAAATCAAGTGAACTAATATACAAAAGTAATAAAAATACTTTGAAAAAAAGTTATTCTTTCAAGTAGCATTATACATATTATATGACAACATCCTACAGTCCTTATAACTTTAACTAGGTAGCATTTCATCATAACACATAAAATTAGTTTCATCATTAAACCAGATATTATTAGAATTAAATGGCATATACAGTGGTACCGCGACTTTATTGACAGTATATTCATGAAATATTTAATTATATGCTCTTAATTCAACCCTTAAAATTATTGTAGCAGTATTTTTTTTTCTCTTGCATTTCTTCCAAAAACTAGTTTTTTTAGTTTTCAATTTAGATTAGGGGGCGTCGATTAATCACGTGAGGTTTTTAGAGAGTGGGGGGGTTTGACAAAAAATCACGAAATATTACGTGGGGAGGGAGGGGTATAGTAAGATATGAGGTGTATTTATTTTTTAACCATTTTTTTTTAAAAAAAAGTTCAAACATTTTCAAAAAAAAAAATTCAAAAATTTTACAGTTTTTTTACGTACCTAAAAATAAACGTGATGTTTGGTGGGGGAGGGGGGTAATTTGAATATCACCATGTATCACCGACCGAGGGGGAGGGGGTCCAAAAATCCTTAAAAACTCGCTCACGTGATTAATGGACTGGAAATGGAAAGGGTTAATTAATTTTATTTAATATAGCCTCATTAATAATGTGTGTATGAGATACTGAAGTCGTAAATTATCTTCTTCTAATCTTTCTTTCTTATTATTTATCTTTTTATATAATTTTTTATTCCAATTTATCTTTCTTATTCTTTCATTCTTATTATTATCAGTGGAGATGCAGTTTTTTTGCATATTGCATTCTTGTCGTTTCCACTAAAATCTAATCTTCTTTTTAGTCCAATCCATTGTTAAGTAATTCTATTCAATATATTTATATCATCGATAATAATTTTGTATGTATAACAAAAAATATGGTCACTATTGTCCAAATAATTTTTAATCCGAAAATTTGATTTGAGTTCAAGTAATTGGATCACTATTGTGGTAAGACAAGCCAAACATTTACTTTTTTGCAGTCTTCCACTCTTTGTAAAATTACCTCCATCGATTCGTTGCTTCGACATACGAGCAAGATTCGGGATACGAGCTTTGAGCGAATAACAATTTTCTAGAAAAATGTTAATTTGTTAACAGTTGTGAAAGTGATTTTCCTACGACAGAGATATTTTGGCTTTTTTATGTGATAGTAAATTATTTTATTGTTAGTCATTTCAAATATATATCAATATTAATTATGTAGTAACGATTTAGCCACGAGAATATATCGATAATTTTTTGTTTTTTGTACATTTACAAAATATTATGTATTTTTATAAACATGGGTCTCAAGAGAAGGGCCATGTCTCTTGAATTAAAATGTAAAATTATAGAAAAATATGAGGTTGGCGAGGATGTATGATCGTAATAAGATATGTACTGTGTTTAAGGAGAGATAAGAATACCTTCCTAAGCAAATAGATAAATCATCACAAAAATGTTTACAACAGTTGAACATGAGAGTTGTTCAACCGGACATGCAACTCATTGCTCAGACAAAAACAATGATTGAATTAATAAATATTGAATTTATATTTAATATCCAAAATATTAACAAAACCCACAGCGTGATTACAGAATGATGATATAAACTCGTATGTCGGGGTATCACTGTATAAGTTTACAAGGGTTAGCAGATATTTCTAAGGTTTCGATTCCATTTCATTAACTAATTCTTAATATTCAATTGAGCAAGTATGTATAAAATATAGTATGTATTATAAATTAGAAATACTATTGAAAAATAATATTAATCAATTTCTATTCCAATCAATAAAATATAATGTGATTTTCATTATATATAATGCTATATGGAGAAATGCACGTTCATGATGTGAAAATGCTTTGCTTTTCCATATTGTATTTTCGGTGTTGGAAAATACATACAATGAGAAGATGTCTGTGTGTAAAATTGCGCCTGAATGCCAGATTTAACTTGAGCGCAATTTGTATCATCCTGAACTTCAAGTGAAGTCACACGGAGTCCAGGAGTTTCGAACACATTTGTAGTATGTTCTGGCAAATGATACTAATATGAAAATAGACCCAAAAAACTAATATTTTAAAATTCGATATTTGTTATGTTGAATTTTGCAATATGCTTGCAGTCACAATACTGGAAATTAAATTCATACAGAAAGTCTATTAAATAAAGACTTGATTGTATATATGAGTTGGTAATCAGATTGGACTACCCCACAAATGTGGACAACCTGGCATACGGTCAGGATATAATGAATTTTTCAATAAAGAATGTTGCCAGACTGTAAGAAAAAAATAACAATAATAAAATGAAATAATATTTATTCATATTGTTAAATAGCACCATAAAATCTAATGTGACTAAGGTTGTTTCATACCACATTATTAACAAAAAAATAATACTAACAAAAAATTACATCATAAGAATGAAAAAGTTAGGTACAATGTGAAGATAAATCGTAAGTCATTTGTCAAATAAAATAACATTTCCAAAAATAGCTAATTTTTCGATAATGTTTGATCGTGATCAGAGATATTTGGGATGGTTCACTGTGGTTACCAACTTTTGATATATACACTTTATATTTTAATTAATATGCTATTCTTAAGCGAATATTTATTTATTTACCTTTTATAACTTTCCGTAGGGTAGTTGTAGTAACGGGCCGAAAATCGAAAATGAAAATTTTTGCATATCTTCTAATTTTCAAGGTTTCTGAACATTTTGGCATACCTCAGAAAAATGGATGTGCGTGTGTGTTTTGTATGGCTGCATTTTTTCGTCCACGTTTTCGGGCGCACGGATCAACCGATTTGAATGGTTTGAAAAACATTCAATCCATATTGATAGGGAGATGTGCTGATTAGTTTTTGGCCAAGGCAGGTCCAGCCGTTACGTAGATATAGAGCAAAGTGTACAGAAAATAGAACTCGAGTTTTTAATAGTGTATTTATATAATTGTGTTCTGCAAATAAAATATAACTTAATTCTAATTAAATAGTGCTGTTTTTTAATTATTAAAGCTATATTATCTATCACAAGACGCGTGTCCTATAAAGAAATACTATACTATAATTAAAGGTATAATTTGGGTTACAACTTGTAGGACAAAATAGAGCGTAACTCTACGACGTTTTGATATATTGCAAAATTGACATATTTGGCTCAGGTGACGATAATATGCATTTTACAAGCGGTTTTGGCTATGATTTGCGAATTTATATATTAATGCTCTCACACTAAACTATGATCATAAAATTCTGGTATGAAACAAGACGTTTCATAAACATAATTATCATCTTTATTGACGAGCACATGTTATTTTCCTGGCATTTAATAGTAGAATTATGCATTTGACTACTTGGTCGTAAAATTCATCTAGTTAATTTGATCTTGATCAATAACAATCATAAACAAAGTTGAAGTTTTAACAATAGAAAATACTTGAATTATGTGTATACAATTACATCAAATATTATGACCTCCAATTCTCTCGTGTAGATTTGAGGAACTAGCAAAACCTTTAGAATTTTCTAGGAATTTTTTTTTAGCAAAATCTTTGGTATTCTCTTTAGAAGAATATGCCAGTTTATCTCTTTCAGCATTTGACATATTTTAAAATGATAAAGTTCTTCGTCAAATTGTTAATGCATTCTATTTATAATTTAGAACAACATAATATATCGTCATAGATAACCTTTAATGATAAAATTTTATTATTTTAGAGAACTATTTGTAAACATGAAACTAGGTATTATCGATAATGTTGAAAGAACTTTGAACACAGAATTGTTACTGGAATTTGATGCTCTATTTATTATCGAGGGACCAAAACAAGATAAATATGTTATTTAAAGCTACTTCATATACTGATGTTGAAAAAATTAAAAATTAATTTGCGGTGGACATGCCCAATTTGCGTGAAAAATCAACTCGAGTCTCGGTACTGTGTAAAAAAAAATGATTGTAACTGTCCATCATATGTCCACCTGTCAATATGAATCGGATATTTTTTTAATCATTCTAGTCGGATGTTGCGTACTCTCAAAAACTTCCATTTTACACTTTTTGCTCCGTATCTCCGAAACGACTGAGTCTGCCTTTGCCAAACAATGATCAACACGTCTCCCCGTCGATACGAATCGAATGCGTTTTTACTCATTCTAATCGGATAATCCGTTCTCTCAATCGTATGCTCCTTTCTCCAAAACGCTTTCAGGCTTGCCCTTTGCCAAAAACTAAACAGCTCGTCTCCCCGTCAATACGAAAAGAATGCTCTTTGAACCATTCATTTCGGTTGTCCTGTGCGCCCGAAAAAGCCGACGAAAATTTGTATCCGCACAAAACACATACACATACACACATTTTTCAATTTGTTCTGACGTATGCCAAAATGTTCAGGAGATCTTGAAACTTCAAAAAATGCAAAAAAGTTTATTTTCGATTTTTTTGCAATTATTATAAATTACCCTACGGAAAGTTAAAAATACTACTATAAAATTGAGTTGTCATACTGAATATGTGTGAAGTCAAGAAACTTTTTATATGAGTAGAAAATTGATTAGATTGGCATACGAGGTCTGTTCAAAAAGTACCCGGAATTTTCGTTTTTTCAAAAAAATATTTATTTATTCGTCTACATTAATGTGGTCCCCTTCAAAGTAGTCCCCCCAGATATAATACACTTATGCCAGCGTTTTTTCCAATTTTCGAAGCACCCTTGATATTCACTTTTTGATATGTCCTTGAGCACTCTCAGCGATTTTCTTCAATCGAGGAAAACCGCCGTCCTTTCATGGGTCTCTTCAACTTTGGGAAAGGAAAAAGTCACACGGAGCCATATCTGGTGAATTTTTGCACTTTGCAACACTTTATTTCATTTTTTACGCAAAATTTAATACAAATTCTTTGACTTTTCAATTCTTCAATTGTAAAAATCGCCGAGCTCAGAAAAACACGTCGAACCTTAGCGACTACCACAGACAAAGTAAACAGTGAATATAGCTGAAAATTTCATCATACTTTAGGGGCATGTATACCAACACAATAAAAAAAAAATTTGACAATCAGACACTCCAGACCCGCGAAATTTAATTATTAGTAATTCCGGGTACTTTTTGAACACACCTCGTATGTTAGTTATGTCTGGTAAAACAAAATTTGTAAGAATCAATGTCATAAAGACACTGCAGTAAAATATAGTGAATGGTATAGAACACAATGTTTAGAGTGACTAAAAACTCTAAATAAGTAAGCAAGGCCAATAAAATAAACAAACCAAATTAATCATTTATTCCTACTCAGTTCCATCCAGCTGCATGTCTAACATACACATGTACCTACATGATTATCCAAATTGTATTACCGATTCAAGCTTTGCACACCTGTTGTAAGACGATTATTAATAGAGTTAATTTATCTTAATTTACACGATGACTGGGTGTAAAATTGGGTCAAAGTATCGTACACTTTGAAGATACATTATGCATATATTTGCCAGGAAATAACAATGTGTACATTTCAAATTATCAGTTCTATACTTGCCAACGTCCTAAAATGTGTTTGTAGGTATGCGCTAATTACAAGGATTTAACATTTGCCAGGCGGGATTTTGGTTAGATATAAATATGTTGATGCGAATTTAATATTTTGCATACATATAATATACATATTTCAAAAGCAAATGTGAACCCATTTCCATTTGTATGCCACCGCTCCGGCGACATAATACGTATTAATTTTGGAACAAATTTTGCTGGTGATTTCTGGAATCTTATTTAGTAAAATATGCGGTTATGTTCACATACAGTTTCATTCTTTGAAAATGTATTATATTTGACTTCTCTCTACTTAAACGTTTTGCTCTCTTTGCACTTCTTGTTAGCCAAAGTTTTCAGAAATAGGCTTTCACTTTCCTAAAGTAATGTTCTTGCTAATTTGAGGAGTAAACAAAAACTCATAGGCGAAGAAATTGTTTTTTACTTGAAATTCTTGAAATTTGGAGTAGGGGAACTAGGGTCTTGTGGTAACATTTTTTAACTTCCCGTAGGGTAAGTTATTGTAATGGGCCGAAAATCGAAATTGAAAATTTTACATTTCTCGACGTTTTGAAGGTTTCTAAACATTTGGCATACCTCAGAAAAAATGGATGTGTGTGTGTGTATGTATGCATGGATACAATTTTTCGTCCACGTTTTCGGACGCATGGATCAACCGATTTGAATGGTTAAAAAAACATTCGATTCCTATTAATAGGGAGATGTGCTGATTAGTTTTTGGCAAAGGCAGGTCCAGCAGTTACGGAGATAAAGAGCAAAGAGTGCAGAAAATAAAAATCGAGTTTTTGAGAGAACGGAGCATCCGATTTGAATTATCTAAAAATATTCAATTAGTAATGATTGGGAGAAGTGGTTATTAGTTTTTGGCAAGGCAAGTCTAGCCATTTCGGAGATACAGAGCTAAATGTGCAAAAAATGGCAGTTTTTGAGAGAACTAAGCGTCCGATTTGAATGATTCAAAAAACTTTCTACATACAAAATTTGATTTTGGAAAAAAAATTTATTTTTTTTGTAGTATCGAAAAATATTCAGATTTTAATCGTAATTCTGACTAAAGTTCTAATGTACCGTTGAAACATATATTTAGACAATGTTACAATATTTATAATAATCTATTTGAAAACATTCAATATTCCCGTTACGGTACGGAAGTTCCAGCAATTTGACTTAAGACACGATGTCTGTTCACACTAGTTTTAAAATTAATGTATCTTGAGATTATATGTATCCACTGATTATATTTATTTACCAAATAAAGATGGGTAGTTGCTGTAACTATTCCTCTACCGAGTCAAGTTAAAATATATCCACAACTGTTGTTCATTGTTTCACAATTCATCAATTTCTAGAAAAAATGCGATGTTACAACTAACCCCGTGTTTGGGGCTAATATAACTAAGCAAGCAGTTAAGACAAAAAAAACGACAATAACACCTGTGTCTGCACCTGTAATATAAATTATGATCTTTCAAAATATGCGTTTTAAAATAATTGGTGTATAAATACACATAGCGCATGATATTTTTTGGATATGTAGGATTATCGCCCATTAAAACAATATCATAATTCGTCACGTAATTTTACAACCGTTTAAAGAAATTCTTTACCATACCATGTAAGTTTTATTACCGTAGCTAAATTAATTTCCCCAGAGGAGAATGAATGTACCTAGTAAAGTTTTATTTGCGCTTCAAAATTGCATGCTATAATTCATTTGCTTGTGCTAACAATAAATGAAAGTACAGTAGAACTCCAATTATCCGAACTCCGACTATCCGAATCGCCGATTATCCGAATCACTTTCAGAAAAAAAATGTCCAAAAAAAGTCTAAGTGCGCTATTATTCTTTTGTTGAAGACCGCAAAACAGCTTAAATTGACGGGAGTTTAAAAAAACAATGATTTTTATTTCTAAACTTGTATATAAGTACATTTTATTTATATTTAAAACATGTGAAAATATCATGTTTCTTTCATTTAATTCAATAAAAAAATAGTGCAATATCAAAACGTAACTTTTTTCTCTCCAATGGCAATTTTAAAAAAAAAAAACTCCGATTATCCGAATATTTGATTATCCGAATATTTGATTATCCGAATGGGTGCCTGTGCCCATTAATTCGGATAATTGGAGTTCTACTGTAGAACTATAATGGGTTCTGCCAAAATCTAGGATGAGGAAGAATTTTATTTTTTTTCTATTCGTTTTATATCTCGAATTTATTTTTATACTCTTATATATTTCCTTTGTCATCTAATTATAAACCATATAATTTTCTTTAGTCTTTGGTTTCTACTCTCTTTAATGAAGAATCGACTTCAAACGAATTGTAGTAGTAGGTAGTGTTATCCAAATTAATCAATATAACATCTTGACTTAATTAGAACTATTATATTTCCACTTCAGGTGGCAAATATTTTCGAAATTTCATATTTGTTGCTTTTTATTTATGTTTTTTACATCCAATTCCTTAATTTTTTTCTTTCCCATTAAATCATCAATTATTTCATTGGGTTGCCATTTGGATCACTATCTTTTTTTTTGCAATATCATAATGCAGAATTAGTTCCCTTCAAAATGTATCATTTTTGTTTGAGAGACCATGTGATATGAAACCAATATTTTTTTTTATTTTAGTGGAAGAAGTTGAGCATTATCTGCATTATGTCGGAGGCGGCGCAGGAGCTTTGGCGCTGACCGGAGTGGCGGCAGTGTCTGCTCTGTATTTGGCATCACGTCCAACCGGCGAAGAACCACTCGTGCCTTTGGAACAACAGTGCAAGATTGTTGGGGTGAGTAATAAACTATTGGCCAATTATTGAAAGTTTAGACTTTATAAACAAAAATTAGATTATGAAAATTTTTAAATCAATCAAAATTTGATATTCACTTGGAACTTTAAATAGTAATGATCAACAGTATGAAATTAGTGATGAAATTATTAGGTGTAAAGAGTTGATATATACAAATTCTTTAAATATTGGAATAATGAGCCCCGCTTTTATGGCATACATGAGCGGGGTTTGTGCACTATAATCAATTACAGATATTATTAGTTTGTTTGAAAGATATAAACTGGACATTTATTTTCCAAATAAATAGTTGTAAACCTCGATTATTATTCATGCAACTTGCCTTAAAGCAAACCCATTCATCATGAGTTTATTTTACAAATACACACTAAAAATATTTATTAAATTTAAAAGATAAGCTTTTGTATAACTTAAAACAACTGAACTAAAATTATGCCAGAAATTCTTTGAATGAACATGGGATGAAACTAGTGGTGTATGGCATCGTGCCTTAAGGCAAATTGCCGGAACTTCCCGTACCGTAACAAAATGTTCGAGGAATATTAAATGTTTTCAAGTAGATTATTATAAATATTGTAACATTATCTAATAATTATAAGAATTATATAAACTGAATTGCACAGCTGAAATTATTTGTTTAAAGTATATTAGAACTTTAGTCAGAATTAAAATTAAAATCTGAATTATTTTCAATACACAAAAAAAATTCTTTTGAAAAAAAAATTGATAAAGAAATTTGAAACAATTTTTTTTTCCAAAAGCTATTATTTTGTTGAAACAAGCAGAAAGTTTTTTGAATCATTCAAATCGGACGCTTAGTTCTTTCAAAAACTACCATTTTTTGCACATTTAGGTCTGTATCTTTGAAATGGCTGAACCTGCCTTTGCCAGGTTCAAATCGGATACTCCGAATCAGATCATTCAAATCGGATACTTCGTTCTCTCAAAAACTCGATTTGTATTTTCTGCACTCTTTGCTTCGTATCTGCGTAACGCCTGGACCTGCCTTTGCCAAAAACTAATTAGCACATCTCCCTATCAATAGGAATCGAATGCTTTCTGAACCATTCAAATCGGTTGATCCGTGCGCCCGAAAACGTGGAAGAAAAATTGTATCCATAAATACATACATACATACACACACACACACAATTTCGGGCCTTGATGTGACCCATATTCAGTGCTACAATTAAATATTTCAGGGTTACAATTTAAAACAAGATAAAAGATACATAATTACAGACAGAAAATAAATAATCGTAATAAATTCCGTACATCTTTCTTATTTACCTCCCAATCGCAACGAAATAGTATCACCTCACAAACCCTTAACCCTGTTCCTGAAATTTCACTATCTCTCAATTCCTTCATCTCATTACCGTACATTGACTGCCTTTTCCACTCATGGAAAAAACTTTTTTCATCCGTTGGTTGAAATTTCCCGCACGTCAAACGTCGTACATGTCATTGACTGTAATGATTGTTCAAGTTGTTATGTTGGAGAAACTTCACAACAATCGTTTCTTCTATAAAATAAATCCTCTCTTATATTTAATATGATGATTTCATACTTGTATATTACAATAATCATATATAGCGACAGTTGTTCATAATAGAACTGGTATGAATAATCTTAATTTTCACATAAATGGTCATCATGCAAACGTTAGTTCGTTCATCAGCGACTGTCACATGTCACAGGTTCTCCAAGTAACATTTTGACAACACCACATCGTCGCTCGTTGTTGTCTGATATACAATAAGATTCATAGAATTAACTAATCGTAAAACGTGATTTTATATTTATGGTGCAACATTATTGTTGCAGTCGACGGTGTAATGACTTATAGGGCTTAGGAACCTTTTCGAACATTTGTTGAAGTCGGCCCAGCGGTGGCGGTGGTGGCGGAATTCAAATTGTTTTCGCTTTTGAAATTAAACTTTGAACCTAATTTCAAAATTTCATGCAAATCGGAGCAAAGTAAAATAATTCAGACCCAAACGCTCCATTGACTGAAGTAAAGCTCATCAGGAAGTTTATGCAGCCACCCTAAGTCAAAATGTCACTTACACATAGCTCCCTAGTTTTTCATAACATTTGAATATTTCTTCTAATTCTTCAATATTTCAATATTAAACAGTTAGATGTGATTAAATTTCGGTGATAAGTACTTGTACAGAACTTTAGTGTTGACGCCATGGTTTGAACCGCACATGAACCATTTTTTGAATTTACATTTTTAAATTTACAATAATCAATTCATCCTTGAATTGAAATATAATTCATTTGTTCGACAACTAAAGTCATAGTAGGTGGTTAAACTAACCAAAAATAAAAAACGTTTTATTATTTTTTAAAATGTCAAATATCGTAATTATCAAAGAAGATTTTTCTGAATCGGAGGATAAAATTCTCATTGAGTTTTGGGTACCCAATGAGTGTTGCGATTCCCTGCAAGCTTTAGCATTCACCGAGGACAAGTTCATAAAAGTATTACTCTATCAAAATAACGGCGCTATAAACAGATTCAATGACCAGTGGGTGATATATAGATTACCACATTTTGTCAAACGCATTCCTGTACAAGTAAGAAAACTTGGAAACTTATTCCAAATAGCGGCTGACAAGATAGAGGAAGAGTATTGGGTCGGTCGCATGGAAAGGGTGCTGCCTAAAAAAGACTAGTATGGTAAAAATGAAAGTTTGTAATTTATTTTCATCTGACTACCACTTAATTAACAATAGTTAATCAAAAATATAATAGTAAAATTATTAACTAATCGTTACCACCTACTGGTTGAGTTTATCAGTAGTTTTCAGTAAAACAAGATTTTTCAAAATTTGACCCTTATGGTTTCTTCGGCAAAATATCTTATTTTGATCCCAAGTATATGAAAATCAAATCAAATGTGCTTATGCGACTTTTTTACCCAGCCAAGTCGACCCGCCCTAATATATATATATATATATATATATATATATATATATATATACTAGGTGTGGCAATTAAGTAATGAGACTGATTCCATAAAAACCGTAAAATTCAAAATTGACTTCGCTTTAGAAGTTAAGTTATGTATCTAATTGTAAGGTTTTGTCAAATGTAATAATAAATTACAAAATAATGTAAGCAAAATATTTATCATAAAATATTTGCACCAAATAATAGTACTTCTGCTTTCTAAATTTTTCTTCTGCCATTGCCATTCGAGAATTCATATTATATCGGGTAGTTCGATAAGCATATTATTACTTTTACACAATTATATAATGGTGTAAAAGTAATAATATACTAAATATTTTTTGCTGCTTAAATACTCTTGATATCACTGATAAATTTTGCACTTTTAAGTATTGCAATTTCAGGCTATGGAAAAACCAGATTAAATGTGTTTCGTTTCGTGTATGTTTCGGTATGTATATTCCTGATTGCCGTCATTCACGGCCAAAGATTGTAGTAGTTAGAAATATGACCCTTTGCCATTCAATAAATTATACATTTGAGTCATTCACACTCGAACACAATTTCATTGTTTTGTATTTTTGAAGTAATATTTTTGTATTTTTTGGAAAAAAAACACAATGGCATTATTTTGACTCGTATACGTATGACTTGGTCACAAAACTGCCTGAAACGAGAAAGCGACCGCTTCCTTCCCAAAGCAAAAACGCAGTAATTGTCTGCACGAGTTAACATATTTAATACCAGTTTCGGAAAGTCGGATATGACAAAATCTCCGACACAACTCCGCTCGGATTCACTCCGAAAATTTCATTTGCGATTACTATAACTTGCCCTATGGGAAGTTATTTATTTGATTACTAAAATAACTATTACGAAATAGGGGTTTATGGTAGGAGGGTGAAAGTTTAAGGCTGTATGTGTTTTTTATTAAGGAATTAACAAGGAAAAGGAAAACCTTAATGTCGCCAACTCTTACCACTTTGGCGTACGAGAGGTAGTCTGATTCTCAGACATACTGAATATAATTATGAAATTTCATAAAAATCGATATTTCTTTTTAATATTCAGAAAGTGATTGGACGTCCTGGTATGAAGAAAAAGTATAAAGTATCATCATGATTCTTTTTAGATGTCAGATAGGAAAAATTCAATGTGGATTAGCCTTTATCTATTTGCTGACCAGACGCATTATCTGACACACCACCCAAATAGCAATTTATTACAAAGCGGTTGTTTTGAAATCGCGGCTCTAAATACTTCTGTTTCTATTCCTATGCATCGCATAACGAAACAACATAAGAATAGACTCAGATAACTCGACTGGTTTGCTTTTCTGCACTACGTCATCGTTATGGTTATACTGTTTGTTACGTGGGCAGCCTGGTGAACCAATTGGACGTGATTAAATGTTTATTGCTGTATTTAAATGCCAGATATATATTAACCCTTCAGTAAACACTTTCGACGTGAATATATATTTATATAAAGTCCAAGTTTTTCTGCTCATGATTTTTCTGAAAGCTTTCTTTTAATTTTTTTGTAATTTTTCATGTAAATTTACGTTTTAAAGCCTTCCGCTAAACGTGTTGACATACCTTAGAAAAAAATTATGCGTGCGTATGTATGTGTGGATACAATTTTTAGCCAACGTTTTCGAGAGCACAGATCAACCGATTTAAATGATTCAAAAAGCATTCGATTCCTATTCATAGGGAGATGTGCTGATTAGTTTTTGGCAAAGGCGGGTCCAGCCGTTACGAAGATACAGGGCAAAGAGTGCAGAAAATAAAAACTTTCTGTTTGTGTTGGCAAAACAATTGCTTTTGGCAAAAAAAATTTTTTTTTTCAATTTTCTTTTTTTTATATCGAAAACAATTCAGATTTATTATAATTTGAAAAATATTCTTCAAAATTTCATTGAAAACTCAACAAATTAGCACTATTTCAGCTACATTTATTTAAAGAAGTTGGGATTAGTAAACCGGTATAGTAGTATCACTAATACTAGAACTT